TCGACTCGACTCGAAAAAAATGAGTCGAATAGAGTTGGTCTTTAAACTCGACTCGACTCGACTCATTCAGAACTCTAATTACAAAGCTAAATACTGTGCATTAATATGATTTGATCAAAATATCATATGATAATATAGATACAAATTTATTAAATGATGACTCAATATTTTACTATGTATTATTAGTTATAGACTGCGTGACTAGATTTAAAGATTTTTTTTTTTAATATCAAAAAGTAGTGAAGAAGTCACAGAAGCATTTAAGAGTATATATGATAATTCTAATAAGCCTCTCAACTGGCCTCAAAAATTACAATATGATAAGGGTACTGAGTTTATAGGATATGTGACTTTATTAATGAATGAACATTACATTGAAATCTGAAGAATTATAGTATGTTTCAAACATACAAGCTTGGTTATTCTTGATAATTATGCTAGACATTTTTCTAGAAGAGTTTTTAAAAATCAGTATTTAATAGAATTTCTCCTACCTACTGGCAAACGCTATAGAGAATGTGAGCAGTTTGTAAGAAAAATTATTAATAATATGAATGATAGCCTAACTCAATTGATTAGAGTAAGTTCTAATAATATTACAAAATTTGAGCGAATATATTCTAAACTATCAGTAAAATATAATCGCCCAATAGGTATTAATGAATTACAACTATCAAAGAGTACTACTATCTGATTTTTACTTACTCCTAGAGAGTAAAAAAATGATCCTTTTGAATAATGCAAAATAACAGATCTGATATGGTCTCTCAGCCTATATAAGATTCAAAGAATTGTTATTAGAAAGAATCCTCTAATACCTATTTTATATTATTTAGATGAATCAGGATCTTAATGATACTTTGTAAGAGAATAATTAATGCATATTAAAAAAGAACCTATATTGTCTCCTAGATGTGTATTAGGAGATAACCAAATGAATACAAGATACTTCTTATAAAAGTTTTTAAGTCTACTATGCAGTAGAATATAATTATAAAAATTACTCCTTTCCTATAGAATAGCATTCTCTTTTTCCAATCACATTAGATTTGTGTATCTAAATTTATCTGCTCTTACAAGTGAAAAAAAGAAATGATTTAGTAATGTTAGTTATTGCTATATTTAAAGGTTAAGCCTAATTCTTTATTATAACCATCTAGATGTAATTCCTCCAAGAATTTAGGCTTTTGGAATGGAAATTTTTTATGTAATAAATTCTCAAATATATACTAGCATATTCTTTTTGATACATTAGAACAAATGGTGTACTATTTATAATTCTGTTTCATATTTTTATATAGTACCTCCTATTGATGACCTTTTTTACATGACCATAAATATGTATTAGAATTAACTTTGCCTAAGCATCTTCCTTCACGTCTTTGGGCATATACTAAAGTTTTAATATCGAATTTTGTCTTGCATTTTATAGGTGCAATAAAATATTACACATAGAATTTATAGTAATAATCATTAACTCAAGACTAATTTGATCAGAAGAATCAATCTGGATATATGAAATTCAGGAAAGTAAAATTAAACTTGGTTACTACTATTGTATAAGTAAAAAATAAGTATTATCAGTATTCTTAGCAGAAAGTGACAATTTTGGCTAAGGGTACTTGATAATACAGCTCAACAATCTTGTTTATATATTCGCTCTTTTTATGTATTATTGATATCATTAAGTAGATCAATATTTTTTAACAATTTTTCATCTATTTATAAAGATTTTGCCATTGTACATGAAATTTATTTTGTAAATAAAAGACTTAATAAGATAGGAAAGAATTCTTGTAAGATTATTTATATAGGATTTGATTACTGTATGAATATTTGCAATTTCTTCTTTTACTGTAATCCAATCATAATACGAAGTATAAAGAACTGTATAAATATGGTTATTTCTTATTTATTCCAGTCTAACTAATATTTTATAAAATTAAGATCTTCATAAATTTCCCTTTCTTTTTGCTTTAAAATAACTTAAAATACTTCAAAATTCCATTGATGATTTACAGTAAAACAGGAATATAGTATATCTTTAATCTTAAGATTACTAAAAATTAATTCAAATAATTCAAAATAAACAAGTAGGTAAAACCTAGCATTTTTTGCGTAAGAAGCATAATATATATACAAGAAAGCAGTATAAAATAACAGAAAAACTTGTAAAGTTTAAAATAAAAATATTATATAATTTTGGATGAATATGCTTGCTAGCAAAACACTGAGTTAGTGGTAGTACTTGAAAGTAATTGATGCAATAATAATCCAAAGTAATTATACATAGAAATATCTCAAAATAGCAAATATACGAGAAAGAATTCTAGGAAGGCAAAAGCGAAATCTAAGGTATAAATTTGGTAGTACCCAAAGGTAAAATAATATAGGAAAGAAAATAAAAAATTATGCTTTTGTGTCCTACTACTAATAGGCAGGAAAGAGATCAGGAAAGCAGAAAGTTTCAGAATAATACATAAAAAAGGGGATGAAAGAATATAGCTTGAATTAATTTAGCACTTCATATCTCATCCTTAGCAATCAAAATGGTTATGAGCGGAATTGTAAGAATAACATAATATTGACACTTTGTGCCTGACTGGTAATCAAAAAGTGAGTGAATGGATTGCAAAACATCTTTAAAAAATAAATGGATTGCAAATTCTGCATTTCGTATCTCATCTGGTAATCAAGAAATGGCAATTAAGAAGGAAAATATATAGACTGATCAATATAATACAAATTATACCTCTGATCCAACTGACTACCAAACTAGGTCCTCAAAAGTTACTCAAGAATTACTTGAAAGTGACGGAAAAGTACTTGGAACTAGCAAGGAACTGGAACACATGACCAGCATAGTAAGACGCAGAAAATTTTATTAATTTTAGCCAGCACTATTCCATATTTTTTTTTAAAACTTTGAGATACAATAACTTAGCATTTAAACATCTAATTCATGTGATCTTAGTATCATTGAAAAACTCTCACGCTCTCTTTCAAACAAGCTCAAAATCGCATGAATTTAATCATAGAAAGCTAAGTCATTTTACACTAAAGATTAAGTCAAAAATATAGCAAATTTACTGTGTCACCTGATCATAAACATGATTATTTGCAATCAATATCAGCCTAGCATGTTGGCCATAAAAAGGTTATAGAGCAATGAAAATAAGTGGATAGCTAGAGATAATAAAAAAAGAATAGAACAATAAAATCAAGCAAATATTTACAATGCAATAAAAAGGCTACAAAGCAATAAAAACAAGTGGATATCAATAAAGTAATAAAACAGCTACAGAATAATAAAAACAGTAACTAGGTAATATTATACTTATAACTAAATAATATTATAGTGCAACTAGATAACACTCTTATAAGAGTATTATTTAGTAAAGGTTTGTTAAATAAAAAAATAATAAAATAAAATAAGCATAATAGGTTTTTTTTTTGTATTTGATATATATTTATTAGATTTATTCTATTACTTAATTAATACAGAAAAAAATATAAATATCCAACATATAGTTGTCACTGATTATACTGAATCTGTATGTACTGAAAACTCGTTATACTGAACTAAAATTTTCAGAACTAAATTTTTATAGTAAATTTCACTAGATATAACGAACTTCATTATAAAAATGCTATATATTATATATTGAACTCATACTAAAAGCCAGGGTATATTAGCCATATATCTTCTATACTGAATAGTCACATGATTTGAAATTAAAAATTTTCAGATGAATAATCTTTTTTTTAATCTTATCTTTTATCTATTTGTTTTACAATATCAAAAAGAAGAACTATTCTTTTTGCAGAACAAAAACGTGAACTTTGTGAAATAAAAGAAAAGGAACTAACTATTTCTAACATTGACCTTACACAAAAATATAATATCAGAAAATCTACAGTTACTGACATTTTAAATGAAAAGGACCATTGGCTTGCAATTTCAGGAGACCAAAGAAAAATTAAAAAATTTTACGGTCTGAAATGGCCTTAATTTAAAAATGCACTTAGTCTCTGGATTGATAATGCATTTAATACAAAATAAAATATTGATGGTAATATCTTAAAAACTAAAGCAAGTTATTTTGCTAGGCAGTTTTTTATAGAAAATTTTCACCAGTCAGAAGGATAGTTAGGTGGATTTAAAAAATGACATGAATTACATCAGTTTAAAAAGCAGGGTGAAGCTTCAAGTGCATCTTCTGCTGAATCATTAGAAAATGACCGCTTTGCCTTACAACAATTTCTTGAACCTTATAATTTTGAAGATATTTAAAATGGTAATGAAACTAGTCTCTTTTGGAAGATAAAATCATCTAGAGTTTTGGCACATGGTCCTTTATATGATCATAAAAAAGAAAAATCTTAGGTTACTATATTTTGTGCAACAAATGTAACTAGAATTGAAAAATGACTATCACCTTTATTCATAAATATAAAACTCCTCGTGTTATAAGAAATATCAATTACAAAAATCTTCCTGTTTATTATTTTTAGAATAAGAAATCTTGGATGCAAGTTAGTATTTTTAATGAAATTCTTTTTAAATTTAATAAAAAAAAATGAAGCAAAGAAGGCATAAAATTGTTTTTTTACTTAATAATGTGCCAGTACATCTTATTTTAGATGAAACTCAAGAAAAATTAGATAGCATTATATTGAAATTTCTTCCACCAAATACTACTTTTACTCTTTAATCATATAATATAGAAATCATTTATTCATTTAAATATCACTACAAACGTCATTTTGTTCAAAATTGAATTGATGCATATGATAATGTACAAGAAAGTATCATGAGAGAACTTTCAGATTATAGTATCTTTGATGCTTTACAAAATTCAGCTGAAGCATAGTCTATAGTATCATCTCAAACAATCTTAAACTGCTAAAGAAAAACAGGAATTCTTTTACCAAACAATGAAATTGAGGATGTGTTTGATGATGATTTAATTTTGAATGAGTATATATTAATTATTAAACATAAATATCAAATGCAAATAGTTTTTAATAAATATTTTTTTTTTTAGTTTTAACGAAGATGAAGAGGAACTTGAAAGATTAATTACTCTATTTCTAGAAGGTAATCTTAATGCATGAGAATATATTTATATTAAAGATGAAATTGCAGAGGGTGGGCTTATTGATGATAAAATAATTGACACTATATTAAATGCAAATAAGGAAAAGGAAAAAGAACCCATGGCAGATAAAATTGAGATTGCACCTGTATTAAAAAAAGTTAGTCCAGTAGAAGCAAAAAAAGCTATATATAAAATTATAAGATTTTTATACGAACAGGAGGTAGAATTTGGCAAAGTAAGTGATGAATTAAAAATTTTAAAAAGGTTAGATAAACGAATTAAAATTCTAGTTATAAATAATCTTAAATAAGTCAATATTCAAGATTATTTTGATAACATGTAATATATAAAGGATAGTTAAAAGTTTCTGGACACTTTTTCACCAAATATAAAACTGATAATTCTTTAGCATTAATAGTAAAAGTTCTAATATTAT